GGCAGGAAGTGCTTATGTAAGATATTTGGCGCACAGCTGGCAGCAGCTGCGAAGTACCTGCGCTGGCCACTGAGCTTATCAAATCGGCGCCGGGGCCGTTATCAGAAAATTTCGAGACCCGATGCAAGTCACGATCGAGTAACGACATATTGCGACGACCACGAATTGAAAAGCCCCACGCGCACAGTTTTGACATCACGTATACCTGTGTATCTGATTTGAAAGGACGTTCGGCCTTGACGTGAAAATCCGCGAAAAATGCCCAGCAGGACAGAATCCGAGGACGTCGCCATGGACGAGGCGCCCCCCTCTCACCAGCCCGAGGAGAACGAGGCTTCTGAGGAGTCGCCTGAGCAGGAGGAGGAAGAGGAGGAGGAGCCCCAGCGCGTCAGGATTGTACGGTTCCCCTGATGAGTAGGGATGAGAGTTGTTTATGCTGACGGGTCGTATAGCTTCCTGGTTCAACAGACACCGCTGCCTCATTTGAGTTCATCGATGAGGGTCACACGCTCGGCAACGCGCTGAGATACATCATCATGAAGAAGTGAGTCAATCCTCGGGAGTTCTTATTGCCGCTCATCACTGACATGCGAAAAGCCCCGACGTCGAGTTCTGCGCCTACGCCATCCCTCACCCCTCCGAGGCCAAGATGAACCTCAGAATTCAGACCTATGGTATGCTTCATCACGCTCCTTCATCACTGCTGACCCCATCTGACATGTCCCGCAGATGGAACCGCCGTCGCCGCCCTCCAAAAGGGCCTGAAGGACCTGCAGGCCCTGAGTGACACCGTCGCGGAGGAGTTCATCCGCTCCAAGGAAGAGTTTGGACGTTCTTAGCTCTGTGAAACTGGACGAGATGTTTGCATGTCAAAACAGGCGTTTTAGGGGGGTTTCCGTAAAATCCAAGGTCATAGACAAAACGTTAATGAGCAATTGAAATGTTTTTTTTTTTCTCTTTCCCCGAGGGTCGGACTTTTGGATTGGTTTCTTATGTACACGAGCTCTAAGCCTCTCTTTCTTACCGCTCAGTTACGACCCTGGAAAAGAGTGCATGTGGTCAGTACGGATTTGTGCAGCAGCTGTGTATGAATATCTGATTTCGAGTGGGATGTCGCTTGGGAGACTCACCTCCAAGAACCCAGTCATGAAGTTGTTGGGCAACCGCTTGTCTCCTCTAAAGTTCTCCTCCTTGAAGTAGGACATGATGTGTGTGGTCTGCTTCCAGAAGTTCATCGTCTCCTGTTTGTCGTCGTGATGTCAGCCATTGTTCCTCTCGCCTCCATCTCTAATCCAGCTCGCCGCGGCAAAACAACGGAGGGGGTGCGCATACCTGGTATTCGGCGTGGCTCTTGAAGATCAGCACGTCGACGACGGGGAGCTTCTTGGCGAACCTGTGGCGCTCAAACTCCTCGCGTATCCGGGTGCGAAGGACGGAGACTGGGAGGGGGACGTTGTACATCGTCTGGATCTCGGGCGCCTGTTTCCAATTCCTCGCGGTTAGCCTCTTGTCACCTTCCCATGACCCCTCCATCCACCACTCAATCGGACAACCGCAAGCTGGCCGTCTCAGATCGTCAGGAAACCGAGCGATAAACGTACAGCGCGAATCCATTCTCTGTAGGAAGCGAGGACCCGTCTCTTTGCGTCGTTCCAGTTGGCCGCTGTATGTCCGTCCTTGTCAGCAGCATTCTTCCGATACGTCAATCGGGCTCAGGACGTACACTGCCGGGTCGTCTTGGCGAATTGGGTCGGTGTGATGGCCATGGTGGGCGCGCGCGGGGTGCTGGGTAAGGGATTCGGGTTCGTGATGGAGGCTTGCCCGCGATCCGGCTATCTTGCACTGGCGGTTGGTCTTGCGGGAAGCACGCACAGCTCCAACGTTGGGAGCCGCCCAATCACGTGTGGGACTTAGTCAGCCCGGAGCTGTTGTCTGGCACAGCGGCGACACCACGGCAGTGTGCTGATAAGATAAGCCCGTTCCTACTTTGGCCCCACTATCGAATTAAACCTCCCAACTTCACTGTTCGTCATACTCCCGCGTCGCAGCACGTTGATCCCATCTCCGAAGGTCACAGAGAACCGTAGAATACCGCGACGCGATCGACTTCGACACCGACCACATTCTCTAGACGACACACCCGCCGAACAAGATGCCTCCCATGCGTCACTCGTCGAAGCGCAAGCCGCCCCCAGAAGGCTTCAGCGACATTGAAGACCAGCTCCTCATCTTCCAAAACAAGATGAAGGACGCGCAGAACAAGCCGCCGCCGACAGGCCCGAAGCACCAGGCGCAGTGGGAGATCTTCCAGATCGCACACACGCGAAGCCGCTACGTGTACGACATGTACTACGAAAAGGAGGCCATCAGCAAGCAGCTGTACGAGTGGCTGCTCAAGAACGGGTACGCAGATGCGATGCTCATTGCCAAGTGGAAGAAGCAGGGCTACGAGAAGGTGAGTCGCAGTTTGGAGCTCTGTCGGAGTCCTGCTAACGTGTTGTCCCTAGCTTTGCTGTCTGCGCTGCGTCCAGACCAAGGAGACCAACTTCAACTCGACATGCGTATGCAGAGTTCCCAAAGCCCAGCTCAAGGGGGACCAGGAGGTGCAGTGCGTCAACTGCGGATGCCACGGCTGCGCTTCGAGTGATTAGAGAAGGGTTCGACACGTCTCACACTTGAAGAGGCCCCGTTCAGCATGGCGACACATACACATCATCGCGGGAGACAGGCGTTCGGCGTCATAGGAGGGTTGATCCTGACCACGAGTACGAGACTCGGGGTCTCTCTATTTTGCTGCAAAGAGGTAGTGATCCTTTCAATTGACCGTTTTGGTATCATGATGGCCCGAACGCTAATCAAAGTAGTGCTATGCTTCGTGACGTCGTGTTCATCGTTTTGCAAAACCTGCCCGCCCACCGCCTCGCCCAAACCGTACGCTGTTCGGTACGAATTGCAGCGCCGACAAGGCTCCTACGAGGTCCTCCATCTCCGTATCTGGGCGTTCCGTCGGGTCTGGCGGTGGTGCTGCTGCTGGCTGTGATGCTGCGGACGGTGCCTTGCCTTCATTTTCTGCCGGTGGCTTACGTCCTTCCTCCTTTTGCTTGCCGCCGCCCTGCGTCTCTAGGATGCTTGACTTCCGCTTCGACTCTTTCGTGTTGACGGCGCTGGATGACTTGCGTCGGTGATGGCCTCCTTCAACGAGTAGTGACCGCCGTCCGTCGATGCCCTCCTTGGTCACCGCAAAGAAGAAATTCTTGGGGTACATGTGCTTGTCGATGAGATGCATCCGTCGCTTCTGCGGCGTCATGCACTTTCTCTCGCAGCCCTCGACGAAGCATGAATACTGGGATTTGTCAGCGAGCGGTCTCCTTGCAGCTCAGGGGGCAATAGTTGACTCACCGTGTGCTCTCCTCTCTCGCGTCGCACTGCAGCAAAAGAGTCATGACACTCCTCATGGTGAATGTTGAGTAGATGCTCTGACGGCAGATTTCTACCGCACTCCAGGCACCGATTCGTGTGTGTCTTGACATAATGCGCCTCATAGTCGTCATAAGACTTGAAGGATATAGCCTCGCGGTGAGGCGGCAGGACACACTTCATGGCAAATTCCTGAAAAGTACCCTCGGCAGGCTCCAGCTCTGTGATCTTTGTTGCGCGGTCATCTGCATCAAGGGACCTAGGGGTGGTGCTCTTGTCGGTTGCGGAATCGGCAGCGGAGGGCTCCTCTTGGTCCTCTCGTGAGCGTTTCATCTTGAGTGCGTCGAGCAATGGGGAATTGTTTACTTGCAAGGCCGCCACAGAATTTCCCACCTCCACACCAGGCTTGTACGAATCTCTTGTGTGCTGAAATTAGGACTCGGGAGGAGCGGGCAGGAGCATGAGTGAGGCTCAGGCCCGGGTGTAGTAGTCAGAAACCCAACTGAAAATGGCAACCTGCGCTACCTGAGGTATGGCGTAGCTGTGCAACAACGTTTGGTGAGAGAGACACGGCAGACAATAGCTATGGACTCGGGTATGGAATGTTTTGGGCGGTGGAAGATCAAAGACCGGGGCAGCGGCGGTGGTACCTAGTGGTGGTGGTGGTGGGGCACTGACGGTCAAAGACAACAAGCAGATCAGGTCAGTCAGCAGCCAGGACTCATCATTCATCAATCCCATCCCATGTCGGGCAAAAGCATGGCAAGGCAAGGAAGAGCCATTGGCCACTGTGCAGGTTGCTAGGCCCAGGCTCAGACTCGGGCTTCCTTACCTTAACAAAGAGGCGGCAGCCATTGGTGCGCAACAGAGGCTGTGCAGATGTACCTCAGTTAAGGATGGCCTGGGCTCCCTTGGACGAGGACTTGAGAGTTGGTAGGCCTTCGGCACCCAGAGGGACCCTGTGCACGAGCCATGTGCAGCTGTTGAGGGGCTCCATCCAAAATAACTGATCCCCAAGGTGGAAACACACTTTACCATAATATACCTTGAGGTTGTTCGCGTCCCTGTGTCTTCATTGAGACCCGACATCGCCGTCTCTTTTTTTCTTCCTCTTCCTGTGCCTTCCTCTGTCTGATTGCACACGACCACCACCACTGTGTGTCCCAGTCCGAGTGCCTCTCCCCTCTTCCCTCTTTGAATGTTTGCTACTGAGTGGCGCATCGCTCGTCGCTCCTTCCCTCCGAAACCTCCACCCAATGTTTTCTTACCCGACTTCTTCACCCAAAGAACGTGCCGCCACAAGCCCTCGATCCGACTCCCCGAGCCTGTCGTTGTTGTTGTCGCCTCCTGCCTCTGCCTTGCCCTCGACTCTGCAAAGCGCCTGCCACCTCCCAAGTTATGGATCGCGCGCGCACTCAGGGATCGGTTTCGAGAGCGTGTGAGCACAGCACCTAGCTACGGGCTCCTTCTTTTTTGGCCTTGTCTTTGATCTTTGGATTCCCGGGGTTCCTCCACTCCAAACACCACAACACCATCGCAACAATACCCCTCTAGGCACAGAGCCTGATCCTGTGCTTTCCACCATGGCAGACCACACTGAGACAGCAAAGGATTGCTGGCAGTAAGTCCATCCATCCCCTTGTCCTCTTCCCCTCCATTGTTCCTAGGAGGGGGCGGACGTCTTTGGGCGCATCTGCCGGAGGCCCTGCGATCCTTCCCCTGCCTTCTAATGATGACTGACGATAATTAGCTATGCGCAAAAGGTCCGCAAGCAATTGCAGAAGGAGCTGGAGAAGCTCAAGAACGACCCCGAGGGAAACGAGCTTAAGCGATTCGAGGCTCTCGAGAACGTCATTGCCAGGTACGCACGGAGCCGTCTCTGCGATTGGAGAGGCCCTGCTAATTCGAACCCAGTCTCCGGCTCGCCTGCATCCAAACCATTTTTCATTCGTTCGAGTATGGGACCACCGAAAAGGTCGACAACAGCCTGTGGCAGGCGCACAGCCTCGTCAACTCCGAGTATCGCAAGGCCTCCCTCCGCCTGAAGGGCTCGCAGCACAATGTGCTCAAGCGCAAACTCGACAAGATGTACATGGCCTTTCTCAAGACGGCGCAAGGCTTCTACATTGCCTACATCCAGCGTCTGGCCGCCGTCTTCCCCGTGCCCGAGCTTCTGCGCATCGCCAAGGGCATCAAGGCCGAGAACCTCGTCGAGCAGAACCCGATCGCGAACGTCACGCCCGTCGTGCGCCAATGCATCCTCAAGTTCTGCCATGCCGCGCTCATCCACCTCGGCGACCTTTCCAGATACCGCACGCAGAATCGCCCCAAAGTCCCTTATGAGGCGGCTTTGGTCTACTATTCGCTCGCTCACGACATCATACCAACCTCGGGCTTCGCTCATCACCAGATGGGCATCATCTACCTGGATGAAAAGAAGCACCTGGACATCATATACCACTTCTACCGCGCCCTGGCTATCGAGGAGCCTCATCCCATGGCGACACAAAATCTCGAGGCCGAACTAAAGACCGTTCAGCAGCCGTCAACGCCAGCTCGTCGCGCCGGCCCCCCTGATCCGCAGGAGGCTTTCGTGCTCTGGTTCGTCCGTCTGCACTCCCATCTCTACAAGGGAGAGCCGTTCCCGCAGCACCAAGAACTCGAAGATGAAGTGATCTCCCGACTGGAGATGGCCATCAAGGCGCCAAACACGCGGGACATGCTGCAGAAGATGGTTCTACTTAATGTTGCAGCCTTTCATCATTCTAACAGAAAAATGACCAGTATGTAGTCCATCTACTTTCGAGAACGGTTTGCTGACTTCCCCTAGACAAGTGGACTATCGCTGCTTCGCGATCCTCGCACTTCATCCTGCGCCTCAACGCCCGCTTCTTCTCGACGTTTTGCCGTCTTCTCAAGAAGGAGGTGGAAGACATCATTGAAAGACAGGCAAAGGGCGAACAGACTTCCGCAGACGGTGCCAGCAAGGAGGCAAATAAGATCACGCCCCTGCTCGAAAATACCCTGCCGTTTGTGCGCCTCTACGCAGCTTGGCTCGTGGCCTGCCGCGTTGAGATTCTCAACGCCCAAGACCCTCTCGAGCCTTTCGTAAAGAACATGTACAAGGACTTCGCAAAGGCCCTGACTGTTCTGTGCGAGATGTATGGTAATGAAGATCTCAAGCTGACACCATATTTGCTTCCCGAGGACCAGGAATCCGTAGGACTACTTCCCCTCTACGGCTTGCAGCTGCCAGAGACCTGCCGCATTCATTACGAAGAGGGTACCCGAACGGTCAAGCCGCAGGCTATTCATTACGACGGCCAGCAACTTGATGCTCTTCACGAGGTATTTGCCCGAGTGTTGAACACGATCAAGTGCGGATTCTTCCTGGCCAATGACGACACCAACTTTCCCTTCTCATACGGCACGTCAACTAAGGGTCTTACGTTCACTTTCGAGGAGGACTACGTTGCCAAACCGACAGCCCAACAGCCCGCAAGACCAGCTGTTGAGGATAGCGCGCCTCCGCGGCCCCCGTCCGTTCCCAAGGAAGCGGCACGAACAAAGCATGTTCAAAAGACGCCGTCCAAATCGGCACCAAAAATGCCGCCACCTAAGCCTACCACAGCACGGACGCATCAACAGCAGCCCACGCCTGGCCGCAACAGCAACAAGACCCAGGGCCAGTCCGAGTACGATTTCAGTTCCGATACAGATATGCTGAACATGGTCAACGACTTCCTGATGCCTCCTAGCGCCACCCATGCTTCCCCTGTCCAGAGTCCCGAAGATACCTCGTACGGAATGAACTCGGCAATGGCAAACGAGGTATTCGGTGTGCCCCCGACTAACAGTCCGCCCGCACTCGGATCCGCCACCGGGAAAACGTTCCCCAGCCTGCCTTGGAACATGATTTACACACCAACACCGCACACCAAAAATTCTGAGCTGACACCGCCAGACCGTGCTGCGCGAGACGCGGCTGCGAGGAGGTCCTTTGATGCCGGCGCGCCTGCGAGAAATGTCCAGATCTCTAGCACAGGTCTCCTTGATGACCCCTTCGCAGATGGGTCAGACGGGCAGTACTTGCCACTGCAGCACCAGCAGCAACAACGACGCTACCCAGGTACACCTGACTTGAATGCTCACCAAGACCGTCTGTTGCAGGCTTTTGGCAAGCAGCCGACAGACACAAGATCTATGAGCCGTGATTTCTCGGGAGGCTACGGGCTTTGGAACAGTGCATACCCAGAGGTCAACCCGAATGCACTCCAGCCCCGAGCCTCATCAGCTCATGTACGCTCACTGAGCGGAGCTCGGCCTCAGTATGCTCCTCAAAGCCCCAACGTGCCCCAGGCCGGAGAGAACTTTCCCTTGTCGTCAGACACTCAGTTCTCCAACAACAGCGGCATTTTCCAGAGCACTCCGTGCAACGGGATCGCGTATACTGCAACGACCGCATTTGGACGTGGCCCCATCGCCCACATGACGGAGGATCCCACTCACTACAAGAACCTGGTCAGACAAAACGGTGGTGCTGCTACTGACGGCTACACTGCGGGCTACAATGACATGATCCTACAGTCCGCTATGGCCGACGAGATGAGGCGCGCCTCGGGCCAGAACCTGCGTCGCTGAAGAGCACTGAGGGATATGACTTGCTTCTGAAAACACACACCCAAACAAGCCCAGCCCACGACCGCTTTGCAGGTCGCGCGGCTGGCAGATGAGAACATCATCTTTGCTATTGCGATGTGAGCTTGATGTGAAGCCGCTCCGAGTGACGTGCAAGCTGACCATGCGTACAGGGAATGACAACTCAAGGTGCCAGCCAATCGCCGGATAATCTTTGCTCTCTCGAATTGCTTTTTGTCGGGCGGGTTTCACATGACAGGACGGAGGAGACTAGTCAAGGGTTGTTCACCAGGCTGTTCTTGTGCAGCCAAATCGTTCCTTCATATTGTTTACTATTTCATGACCCAGGGCTCGGATCGTGGAAGATGTCAGGCCCAGATTGCGAGTTGATGCAAGTGCTATTGCCACTCATTTGATGCTCCCCCCGGGAGCCAACGCCGTTGTTGAAACCTTTTCCCTTTGACCCCCTCAACGCCAGACTGTCGAAATGGACGGATATGCTCTAGGCATTAGATGCAGGCTGCATTGCCTACAGTTTAAGCAGAGTAGGTCTGCTTGGGGAAGGGGTAGCTAGAAAACATTGTTAGCAAATGATCGAAAATATCACAAAAGGCGTGCCCATGTGAGAAAGAAGTGATGACTTACGAAGGACCAAGCTCCTGGATGCTGAGCTTAGCCAGCCACTGGCCCATGTCGATGGACTCGTCGAGAGACTTGCCGTCGACAACACCGGCCATGAGACCACCGGCGAAGGCGTCACCGGCACCGTTGGTGTCGTTGATCTGCTCCTTGGCAATAGGCTTGACGGGGTACTCCTTGACGGTGTCCTCGCCCTGGACGGCGACGAGGGTGGGCTCGGTGCCCTGGGTGACGATGGCGACGCGCTTGCGCTTCTCATTCTTCTTGGGCAGGTTGGCGAGGGCCTTGGCGATCTCCTTGAGGTCGGTGGTGCCAAGGTTGTGAGCCTCAGCGTAGGCGGCGGCCTCGGTCTCGTTGCCGATGACGTAGTCCCAGTAGGGGGCGCTGGCATCGAGGGGGTCCTTGAAGAACTGGCAGATGAAGGGGGCGGACAAGCTCACGGCGAAGATCTTGTTGTTCTTGGCGGCCTCCTCGGCGAGCTTCTGGATGGCCGGGGGGCAGACGGTGAAATGGTAGCCACCAATGTAGTAGGCCTGGGCGCCCTCAACGAGGGCCCAGACGTCGGGACGGGTGAGGTGCTCGAGGTCGTAGTGGTTGGCGGCGCCGAGGTCAGTGCACATGGAGCGGTCGTGGCCGGTGATGACAACGCCGCAGCGGCCGGTGGCGATCTTGGGGTCGACGCGGTACTCGACGCGCAGGCCGGCGGTCTTCACCGCATCGTGGAGGATAGCGGCGTACTTGTCGTCGCCGACGCCGCCGAGGTAGACGACGGAGTTAGGGGGCAGGATGTACTGGGCACCGCGGGCGGTGTTCTGGGCGGCGCCACCGGCGATGAGCTTGGCGTCGTAGTTGTTGAGGAGGTCCTCGTAGATGCCGAGGTGCTTCTCCTCGGCGAGGATGGCGTCGTTGGCCTTGAGGCCGTACTTTTCGAGGAGGGCCTCATTGCCAACTGCTTGGATGTCTAGTGGTGGGGTGTTAGCCTTTTTTTCGGTCCGGTCCGCTTGGGGAGAGCTCGGTGTTAAGGGAGGAGGGGTAAATTGGGTGTTGGTGAGGAGGGGCAGGTTTGCGGTTGCCCCTCGTTCTAAGAGTTAGAATCATTGTGAATCTTACCAAGCAGAGGGTTCTCGAGGCAGAGAAGACGGAATTCCTTGGAGGCCATTTTGTTCAATTGAGGTATTCTGGGGTGTACGGAGGAGGTGTGGAAGAGACGGTGGGAGAAGGGGGAGCTCTTTTCAGAGATTTTGATTTTGGTGCTCCGGCGGCAAGTGCTGTAGCAGATGATGGTGGGGTCAACAGCGTTGGACCTGTCGGAGGAGGTGGGGTGGTGGGAGAAACGTGCTTGAGGGCGGGCAGCTGAGCTCGCCGAAGAGAGGACGGTGGCAGGGATGGTGGGGCGAGTCGAAAAGGTTCTTGTCGCTGATGCATCGAGTGAGATTGCCGCGAGTCTGAGCTGGGGCACCAGCAGCCGGTGCTTGGTGAGACACCTGGCCGAGGCGGTGACGGACGACATTGTTTGGGTTGATTGGTGGGATCGATGAGATGTCAATTGATGGAGTTTTGTGATGGAATCTGGGGAACACTGGATTCACTGGTTTGGTGATCTGGGCGGGTGTCGGTTTTTGTGCCCGGTCCTCTGGAGTCAGATCATGCCACTTACGAGCTGATGATGAGAGCGGGAGCAGTCACGAGATGGCGCGGTTTCCTGTTCTGTAATATTTCAGATTGACGAACCCATGTTACCAGGGTATCTTGGTCTGTTGAAGAAAACCAGAAAGCTACGTAAAGGCAGCCGGCCTCTCCTCTCTTGACAAGTCCATAACCCCGTTTTGATTTTGATCAGCTCGTACGCACAAACTCCGGCCTCTTTCTTTTTTGGTCATCTTCACTCATCACATTCTTGGTCCCGCGAAGTACACGTGCCTCCCTCTTGACGGGGGGAATCATGGCGTGTTCATTCAATGCTCAAAATGCCTTTTTGTACTTGCCGACGAGCTACCAGGTGAACTGCCCTCGCGAGTACCCTCAAAAGATGCCAGCCGCGTAACACCAACCCAATGGAACCCTGAAATCCAGCCAGACTATGACATTTATTCCTTGGTCTTCTGGGTACCACGGAGGAGACCAGTACGTCTGGCGGCAATAAGACCGGCCTTCTGTCCCTGGGCGGCGTAGCGAGAGATGGTAGAGGCCTTTCCGATATGCTGGTGGTTACCACCACCGTGGGGATGGTCGACGGGGTTCATGGCAACACCACGAGTCTTGGGCCAGCTGTTGCGCTTGACAGCGAATTTGTGCTTGGCGCGGGAAGCCTCTGTAGGAACTGGTTAGCGATTCCGTTCCCTCTCCCACACTACTCCCCAAACTTCAAATTTCCAATAACCACGGGCAAAAACGTACTCAGGAGGGGCTTGTCGGTACGGCCACCACCGGCAACGATACCGATCATGCCACGGGCGGCAGAGTGGACGACCTTCTTGGCGCCGGAGGGAAGCTTGATGCGGGTCTTGCCCTCATCGGGGTTGTGGCCGACAACGGTGATGTAGTTGCCGGAGGTGCGGCCAAGAGTGCCACGGTCACCGATCTTGGTCTCGACGTTGGAGACGACGGTACCCTCAGGCATGGAGCCGAGGGGGAGGACGTTGCCGACGGTCAGGGCGGCCTTCTTGCCGGCGTAGATGAACTGGCCGGTGTACATGCCCTCGTTGGCGATGAAGGTCTCGGTGTGCTGCTTGAACTTGTAGGGGTCGCGGAAGACGACCTGGGCGAGAGGAGCACCACGGCCGGGGTCGTGGATGATGTCCTTCACGACACCGCGGACGTAGCCGTGACGCTCGGCATAGTCGAGGTTACGGAACTGGGCGGGGGCCTATTTTTGCGAATCGTTAGGATTCTGAAAATTGTCGTGCGCTGCGGGCGCAATTATTCGGGGGCGGGATTTCGATGCTCACCTTGTTCAGGCGGGTGTTGGCCGTGAAGATGCTTCCACGGCCCTTCCTCTGGTTGCGGATCTGGACGAGAGACTGTCAGCGATCATGGTTCCTCCCATCATGTTGTTCTTCCATCATCGAAAAAAGTTCGCGGGTTTCGGATCGACGAAATTCGGAAATGTGGCAGCGACAGCGAGCCGCAAGTCGAGAGTCGTCTGTTCGCAATGATGGATGATCGTCAATAGAGTGATTACTTACAACGCGACCCATTTTGGCAGTCCTCTGGCGGTCGGAGGGCTAGGTGTTGTCGACGGTGGTGATGGTTGGGAATTTTTGCAACGAACTCCAGTGACAAGGTAATTTTGGGAAGCAGCTCTGGTGGGCGGAATTCGGGGCTCTCGCTAGAGCACGTGCCTGGTCACCTGATCCTCTTGCAGAAGAAAAAAAACTCGAGCGGTGCCAAGTGAGAAGTGGAAGAAGCTCGGACGGAAAGAATCCAGGCTCCACGGTGAGTCGGCGCGCGGACCCACCCTGACATCCACCCCGCTTGCTGTTGGCCAGCCTTGACCCGTCGAACGGAACGCCTGGCACCGCGTCACGATCTCCGCACTTTTACCCTCACCTCCCGAACGTCCTCTTGACGGCCTCATTGGCCTATGTCCACGACACGGTCGACGGCGATGTGCACGACAGTATCTCGCTCAGCTAAATGTCGCGAATAAGATGGTCATCAACACACAATCGGTGTTTAGTGCATCAACTCATGAGTGGTTTCTCTCTGCTCCTCTCATCCGTTTCGCTCCATTTGTGGCTGCATTTGCTAAATGTCTTGTCAAGGTTGATGAAATCGACTTGGATTCGGCGTGTGTTCTGGGCGGGTACCGTCTAGAGACGCCTCGTGGATTTTGGGTGAGGTTACGCCCCAGGGTCAAGGGCGGCAAATGGTGTGGTTCAGCGATCAACGTCATCGGCATCACCCCTGAACAAGAGCATCTCACGCGTACCGGTATCGCGTCCATGTCTGGCCAGGCTTCATTTCGCATGCTCCAGGCCTTTTTGTGCGCGAATTGCTGTCAGAACCATGAGGTACGGGATCAGCACGTACGGTTGCGAGCGATCGCCGTCGTGTCCGGCTGCCTCTAGTGAGGCGCCATTGGACAACCACTCGGGCTTCATCAACACCGCGGAATGAACGCCAGGAGCATGTTTCTGACATCGGCCTCACGGTCCCGCCGGTCCACGGGTGTCTCCAGCGTCATCAGCTGTCAGCGATACTGATAGCCTCAAAAGGGTTCTGGCGGACGACCGCAAATGCCGGGCTGCTTTTCGCAACATTTGCACTGTGTTTGCACCGCGATAGCTTCAATTTTTTCGAGATTGGCGAGGTAGCTCCCAGATGCAAAGTTGCGTGGGTGTACGGTCTGGGTGAACCGGTTTCGCTGCACGGTCATGTGACATGTGATCCAGACAGTGGACAGCGGACAGCGGGTACGGGGATTCCGCAGGAATGCACCATGGATCGCAGCAACCATCAAGACTCGGCACCAAGCATCAGGCATCGTCTCATCGTGCCCGAATGGTTTAGGACCTGGTTGAAAAGATACGTGCAGGTCGTTGTTTTCATTTTGGCTTGGAGCCTCTACGGCAAGGTGTGGGGGCCGAACGCAAGGGTGAAGTCGACATCAGCGGAAAGTTGAACAATCACCCACGGCGGGAATGGCATCAGTTTTTGCCGTTCGATATGTGCAGGACACAATGGTTGGCAGCCTGCGTGCTCTGCACATAGCGACTGCGTGCATCCAGACGGCAGGGGTATCACAACTAGCCGCCACTCCACTTGTGCACCACAGAGATTCATTTCCGGCCCAAGCAAGGGAGCACGATTCTACATTCGAGGAGGATGATATCGGATTTCACGGCCACGAAGAAATCGCAGGCAGGCGCGGTGTTGGGAAGAAGGTTTGTCTGGCCTAGGATGCCTACAGTGACCGTTGAGGTGGGGTACGGCCGAACTGACGTGGGTGCTCCAAGATCTTGAGGGCAAGGCCATTGAAGCATAATCCACCAGGCGCGCAAACAGGGCGAAGTGGACGGACGGCAACGGGCAGGCAGCATGAGGAAGAAAGCAGTAGATGGAGAAAAAGGCTCGCAGCCGTAATGACCTGTTGAGTCTTTGATACCTTACTGAGCTGCGTAACGGAGAAAGAACGTAGGTATATTAGAATTCAAATGACTCGGGCCTATCAGAGAGAGAACCAGGCCCGAAGAAGATGCGGCTCAAGCGTGACTTAATTAGACCGATGGTGGGCGTTCGAAACTTCCTCGCTCGACATACACCGTCGCGCCGCTACACCTCCACCCACCTTTAGTTCAACCACCACGATACCCACCCCTATCAATCTCCCAGAACCACACACAACAGCCATCACCAAAGAAAAAAAGCGCAAGATGGCCGACGACGATTCTTCCGACCTGTCGTCGTTGTCGTCGCTGTCGCCAGTGCCCTCCGACATCGAGTCTGACGCCGCTCCTGAGCCGGAGCCCAAGAAGGATGGCATTCTGAAGTTCTTCCCCAAGCTCGCCAAAGGCAAGAAGGCGTCTGTGGCTAAGAAGGAAGCTTCACCGCCCCCTCGTAAGAGGTCGCCCTCTCCGCCGCACGAAAACGCATTGGAAGACAATCAAGACATTGCAGTACGTCCGTTGTCGCGTCGAGTCGCGCAAAAAAACGCGGTTATTCGCGTCCCCCACGTCATAGGGCCTGCTAACAAGCCTTCAGTTCCTCGTCATGTTCCGAAGCCGATTCAACGATGCCTTCCCAAAGTCCCTGGCCAACTTCGGCCCCCAAGAGCTCGAGCGCGACATCATTGATAACCCTCCTGGCGAACGAGTCGAGGCGTTCCTCTGTGGTCTCCTGTTCTTGCTCCTCAACCGCAAACAGGACGTCAAGTACATCAATGCGCCAGCTCCGACATGGTTCATACAGGTTGCTAATTGAATTGCTAGGGCTGGCCAATACTCGAAGGCTCTGGACGATGCCCTTTCCGCACACAAGGCGCAGTGGCCGCGGGAATGGGAGGGCGTCAACCCGCTCTCCGGGGGCAACACTTTCCACACCCTCGCGCCCACGCAGAGAGTACGTGCAGAAGCCCCAAATCCTCGATGCATGTCTTTCAACCCCTCGCAGCATGCTAATTGAGTCCCTAGCTCTCTCTACTCCGAGCGTTGGCCCTGTGGTCTCTCTCCGCGTCCGAGACCGTCAAGACGATCATCAATAAGTCCTACAAGGGAAACCGCCACGAAGACGACCTGAACCAACCACTCTCTGTCCAACCGTGGGGCTCTGATAGTGACAAGAGGCGCTACTTTTTGATTGAGGGTTTGGACGACACTGCATTCCGTGTGTACCGTGAGAGCAACCCTGCCGGCTTCAATCGGACGTGGTGGTCGGTCGCTGGGTCAATCGATGAGATCAAGGCCCTCGCTGAGAAACTGGAGGCCAAGGATGGCGGACCCAAGGCCAGGAAGCTTGCTGAGAAGATGATGGCCGCAATCCCTCGGTTCGAGGCCACTGAGGAGGTGAGTTTGACTACCTGGACACCCGGATGTCTCAGCGTGCATGTGCTAATTTTTGCAGAAACGCCGTCGCAGAGAGTACCGCCAGGCCCAGAAGGCTCGTTTCAAACGCCCAGAGCCGGGCTACTCATCCTACGAGGGCCGCACAAGAGGCAAGCGTATCAAGTACAACTACTCCGACGACGAAGACTTCCTTACGGATTCCTCATACAGGCGCTCTGCGCGCAACACGGGAACCAACACACCAGCGGAACCCGCCGGGCCCGTCACCACTGCCAGCGGTCGTCAGATCAAAGCCCCGACTCGCCTCAATGCAAGCAGTGCCGCTGGTAGCGTCAACGGTGACTCTGGAGATTCTCGGCAGCAATCGCCTGCTCTTGGAGCCGGTGGCAGGCCACGCAGAGCTGCCGCAGTCAACCACGGCACCAATGGATGGTCGTCGTCCAGAGGCACCCGCGGCCGGGGACGTGGCTCGACTGATGAGGACGAGGACGATGCTAGTGAGCCTGACCTCGGCGATGACGAAGAGGACCACGTCCCGGATGAGAGCGAGGACGAAGAAGACGACCTGGATGGAGACGAACAGATGCTCGATGACGATGATGTTATTGAAGAACCGAAGAAGAGTTTGATCGTCAAGCTATCAGTAAAGAAGTCGCCGACCTCGGTCAAGACGGCCATGATTACTCCTGGGCCGGAGGACGAGGCCGCCAGCAATGGCCAGATGGATGAGATTATTGCGAAGCCCAGGGAGAAGACGCCGGAGCCCGTCATCAATGTTGCCACCAACAAGCAACCATTGAGCCCTTCGGCACCGAAGACTTCTCTGGCTTTTAGAGGAAGCCCAGACAAGCCGCAATCTCTGCCCCAGGTCGTTGACGTCGGCCAACGAGAGTAGGCCTCTCCTGTGACCGATCTTCACGACTTTGGAGGCGTTTAGGGAAAACATACCAGATGGCGTACGGTTCATTGAACGGCACAACGGAATGAGTGGGCGATTTTTTTGTACGAGCAAATGCTCTTCCATAGACAGTACTACGGCCAGTACTGAGGTTATTTGACGCATTCTTTGATGCGACGGTACCCAAATGGTACCCGGTTTGCAGAGGGGGGTCTCTGCTTTAGTTTAGTTTAGTTGTACAGATACCATATCATTCGTGTCCTCTTTTTCATCCTAGTGTCCCCATGCGTCTATTCACAACTCCTTCCTCAGCCTCCATGTGTCTCGTTTTGGGGGCGGCAGCTTCCAGTTGTTCACGCCGTACCACCACCTGCGTACCCTCGCGCCGATGGAGCTGCCGTGGACCTGTGCGTTCTTGTTCCAATGGTGCCAGCCGATCAAGAATAAGTTGTAGATGACTCCTTGCGCCAAAGGCATCATGACCTGTGCTACGTCAGTCCTGGGGCCGACTCGCAGACATTTGCAATCCACCGACCTGGTCTCTCACTGTAATCCACGCTACCCTTCCCCAGGTGTCCGCCTTGGAGATGCTGTGCAGGTAGCTCTGCTCGAATCGGAGGTCGGGCATGGGCGGAAGCTTTGCTGACCGCGGCTTGGGGTTCAGCACACTGTAGGGGATGTCGTCGTCGAGCTCGTCATCGTCGAGATCATCGTGCGACGAGACGGGTTCTAATGTCACCGGCTCCTTCTCTGAAGCGGCTGTGGTGGGGTTGAGATCGTGATCTGGGGACGGGGCACGGTTGATGTGCGCTGTCTGTATCGTCTCAGCGATTTGGATGGGCACGTTGGCGGCCATTTTGGGCTGTGCGACGTATGTCTGGGTCGGTGTTGATAATGGCGATGGCCTGGCTGCGAGCTCGGGGTAGCTCCTCTCAGGTGGTGACGGAACTGTAGGGAGGTCGCGATAGAGTTGGCCCGTTAGTTGCATGGATAGCGTGAATGCATCAGGACGATGAGCGGTGCCCGTTTAGATGCATGGACTTTTCACCAGCTGCGGTCGGTCATGGTCTTTTTCCAGCTTGGGGCGGCAGAGATCGAGTGGGGCTGGATGGGCAACTAGGTAACGAAGGGAGCAACAGGTGTACACATGGGTTTGTCTCAAACCTTTGCAGTCTGCGCCTGTGCCTGTATGGTGTTTGCTGACTCTATCCTTGGGGACAGCTGTGTCCGTTGACTCATTATTCGCGACATCCGATGAAATGCGAAACTCAGCTGGGCAAATCCGAAGATTTTACCTTGCGTACCTTACCTTGCCTGACCAAACTTCGGTTTGTTTGAGTAGGTGAACCATGGGGGCGGCTCCAGCAATGACGACGGCACGTGCGGGCTGCGGGAGAACCTGGAAGGGTGCAGCAGCCCAGCTGGTGCGCTGTAACTGGACGTCCCCAGTGGCTGAATGGCTAGGCACCCAGCACCACTATGACTCGCTTGCGGTTTAGCGCCCTAGGACGGGATTGGGTGTGTCCCCAGTCAGGCCCAATCCTTGTGCGGTGACAGCACAAAAAATCGACCTACATACGTGGAGCATCAAGTTTTCTTTCCTCGCAACACCGCATCGCATCGCACGCATCGGGAGAACCGCGCGACGACGACGACAAACCTCTCACCGTCACGCGACCGCGTACCCTTCATTTTGTTTTCGAGTTCGTTAATTCCCCCGACCTCAAGATGGCGGACGCTCAGAAGGACGAGGCCGAGAAGAACGTGAGTAATCATTTTGCACAATTTAACGGAGCCCCTCCTTTTGCCCCGCGTTCCAAGACTGTGCAGTGTGCAGGCCAGGCTGACTGATGCGTTTGTTGCCATACAGATCGAGATATGGAAGGTGAAGAAGCTCATCAAGCGCCTCGAGGCCGCTCGTGGTAACGGCACATCCATGATCTCCCTCATCATCCGTACGTCCTTCCGCCGTGATGCCGCCGCCGCGACCCCATTTGACTGACCCCACCACAGCTCCCAAGGATCAGATCTCGCGTGCCGCCAAGATGTTGGCTGAAGAATACGTATGTCTCGTCCCTCTCTGACAGGGCGAACGACTGCTGACACTATCGCGCCCAGGGTACTGCCTCGAACATCAAGTCCAGAGTCAACAGACAGTCCGTCCTTTCGGCCATTACCTCCACCCAGCAGCGTCTCAAGTTGTACAACAAGGTCCCCCCCAACGGCCTGGTCGTCTACTGTGGTGAAATCTTGACCTCGGAAGGCAAGGAAAGGAAGGTCAACATCGATTTCGAGCCCTTCAAGCCCATCAACACCTCCCTCTACCTCTGTGACAACAAGTTCCACACCGAGGCCTTGGCCGAGCTGCTCGAGTCTGACCAGAGATTCGGTTTCATCATCATGGACGGTAACGGAGCCCTCTTCGGTACTCTTTCCGGAAACACCAGAGATATTGTCCACAAGTTCTCGGTCGATCTCCCCAAGAAGCACGGCCGTGGTGGTCAGTCCGCCCTGCGTTTCGCCCGTCTCCGTGAGGAAAAGCGCCACAACTACGTCCGCAAGGTTGCCGAGTTGGCCGTTCAGAACTTCATCACCAACGACAAGGTCAACGTCGCCGGTCTGATTCTGGCTGGTTCTGCCGATTTCAAGAACGACCTCAACGCCTCCGACATGTTTGACGGCCGTCTGGCTTCCAAGGTTATCAAGGTTGTTGACGTCTCCTACGGCGGTGAGAACGGCTTCAACCAGGCTATCGAGCTTTCCTCCGAGACCCTCGGTAACGTCAAGTTCATCCAGGAGAAGAAGCTTATTGGAAAGTACTTTGAGGAGATCAGCCAGGACACTGGCCGCGTCTGCTACGGTATTGAAGATACCCTGAAGGCTCTGGAGCTCGGCGCCGTCGAGACCCTGATTGTTTTCGAGAACCTGGAGATCACCCGCTGGAAGCTCAAGGACAGCCAAAACGCCGAGCACATCCTGCACACCACCAAGCAGCAGGAGGCCTCCGGCCGTGATGCCTTCTTGGACAAGGAGACCGGCCAGGAGATGGAAGTTGTCTCCCAGGAGTCTTTCCTTGAGTGGATTGCGGAGCACTACAAGGATTTCGGTACTAACCTTGAGTTCGTCTCGGACCGTTCCACGGAAGGAAACCAGTTCGTCAAGGGATTCGGTGGTATCGGTGGTATCCTCCGATACAAGGTGAACTTTGAGCAGTTGGCTGATATCGACGACGATGATGAATACTACGACGGTATGCTCTTCGAGATGACACCTCGCACAACAGCGGCTGACGTTTTACAGATTGACCTTCCGAATCCCTCGAGATTGAGGGATCGACTCAAGCATCGTCTCTAACGCATAACAGCGAAGAGGAGTCCGCGCGCGCGGCGCCGCAGCCCGCCAACGCGCCGGCCCGCGCGCCCATGGCCGCTCATCGGCTCTTCGCGGAAAGAAGCCCGACGAGCCCGGCTACCCTCACGCACCAAGTGGCGCGCCCGAGCCCGCTTCGGTCTGTTATGAAGGCCTCTTGAGTTGAGAACTAGTCTACAGGTACGTTGATGAATGATTCGTAGGTGGGGGGTGTGACTGACAACTCGCAGATACTCCTCTAGTAGGTAGAGGACAATTCAAAGCGGTCGGGAGGCGGCCGCTTGTTTGCGACTAGATAGAATGAAGTCAATATATTGCATAGTCACTCCTTGAACATTGTGCCTCAAATTTGAACAGTGAAATATAGGGAGCTGTTGCTTGTTCCTATATGTTCTGGACGCCGAGGGCGAATTACTCCAACCGAATCTTGAGTGACGAACCATCTTGTAAATTGGGTACTGTGATCATGCCCGGACTGAACGATTCCTATTGATTTCTGTTCTGCGAGCCTCACTGTACATTGACCCATGCTTGAGCCGTCTTCAGCAGCTCTATCATGAGGGCACTGTCAGATATGTAATTATCACACATACGTTGAATACTTGCATAACCATGTCAATTTCCTGGCTTCCTTCATCTATCTCGTGTAAGTCTCATCAACAGCCAACATGAGGCCGCTCGTCCACCGGCTCCATGCCTTCAATCGAAACATCTCAACACATCATGCCGCCCCTTCATTGGAAGCGGGCATCGCTCAAATCCTGCACAAGAGCAAAGACGTACCAGACCACCTCTCCCCTACCTCTTCACATTTGCTAAACCTCCTGTTCTCTGACATCTTCGCTGCGTCCTCAAAAACATCTTCCCGGGAGTACCCTCCTGCTGCAAAATCTGCCGCATTCCTCCCGCAGGGCCACCACCTCGCTTATTTCCCACTCCAGTCCCCGCCCTCAGAGCTGATGCCGGACGGCACAGACCCAGACCACTGCCCGGGCGCGCCCTTCACCCGCCGTCTCTGGGCGGGGGGCGAGGTGAGGTTTCGCGAGGGCTGGGAGGATGAGCTGCGTCTGGACAGCAGACGCGTCAGCTGTGTCGAGAGCGTGGAGGATGTCCGGCCTGAGAAGGGCCGGGTATGGGTTGAGCTGTGGCGGCGGTACGGCGCTGCTGCCGCGGCGGGCAAGGGCCCTGCGATTGAGGAAAGGAGGACTCTGGCCTTTTTGCCTGACACAGATACGCCGTTCTCTCCCAGGCGAAGTTTGAAACGTACGTTTGGGCATCAGTGATGGAGGTGAGCGGGATGCTAACCAGAGACAGCGCCGCATCAGCCGACGTATTCTCTCGCCATCACACCTTCGCAGAACCTCCTGACGAACTTCAGCGCGTTGACGTATAATGCTCACGCCATCCATCTAGATCCGGCGTGGGCTAGGCAGGAGGGTCACCCGGCGACACTGGTCCATGGGCCGCTGACCCTGGCTCTCGTGCTTGCATTTTTTAACCAGAGAGGCCAGCGGGTAAGATGGTACGGATATCGAAACTTGGCACCGCTTTATTGCGGCCGGGAGATGACAGTATGTTTGAGGGAGAAGGATGACGGTGAAGAGAAGAAGTGGGATGTTTGGATTCAGGATGCTGAAGGAGGAATGGCCGTGAAGGGCACCGCTACGACTGTTGATGGCTAGACAGCGGTGAAAATGGAGGTTCATTAGGTCAGTCAATCACGCTGAAGTTCAAGCCCTACGAACATGCCAAGCGGGGAACGATGGTCCAATTATTCAATCTGTTTTGCTATCATTGGTAAATAGAAGTACAACACCCAACCACGAAGACAGAATGAAACCTTCCCGACGGAACATTCTAAGCAGGCGACTGCATGCTTACCAAGTCGTAAACACTTCAGCCGCCAGCGACAGCCTCATCCTGCCACGCGGGGAAAGCAGGCGCGTCCCCACCAGCGCACTTGTACACGACATTCTGGCTCTGCTGGGTGTTGAATCCAAGAATGACATCCCCCGTGCTATTCTTGACCTCCAATTTGAGATCTCCAGGCCCGCCTCTGTTATCCCAGTAGACACGGAAAGGAATGTATGCCGACTCAGTGAACACAAAAGTGTCGACAAGCTTGGACTGCTCCGGCGAAGCCCAGAGTCCATACACGTCGCTGTTGCCAGCGGCAAACGAACCCGACTTGGCATTGTTCCCAAACCACAGGAGCAGGTCATCGTCTGGCTGGTTGGCGAAGACGGTGTAGACTCCGGGCGTGACGTTGATATAGCCGCGGTGCTGGACGATGGAGCACGTCGAGGTTGTTCCCGCCGGACCCTGGGTCCCGTAAAGTCTCAGAGGGGCCAAGGCTTCATCTCCGTTGTTGGAGAACCCGATGCTTTGGGTCACACCGGTGAGGACGGGGGTTCTGCCCCCTATGAGGCGGTTGAGATTAAAGTTGCGCGGGCTGTTGCCCTGGACGTTGATGTAGTTCTGGCACAGATCCGAGTTACGGTCAATGGAGTAAAGAGCATACTCGAGGCCCGGGGTGCACGTGGGTGTGCTGGCGCTGGACGAGGTTGTCGTGGTCGAGGTGAAGGTCGGGCTCGGCGGCTCCGGGGTAGGCGAAACGGGGCTGTCCGAGATGGTCGAGCTGGGAGACACAGACGAGGTCGACGAGGGACCTGGTCCGACGACTGTGATCGTGGTTGCCTTGACGCCTTCGAAGCACTGGCAAGCGGACCAGTACGCGGTGACGTCGGGGCACGAGGAGGCGTAAGCAGGCTTCGTGCCTGTGATCACAGGAGCGAAAGCCTGGCGGGGACCATGGACATTTCTCTTGGCGGCAGAAGGCGCGGCGCCAGCCCTGTTGTACAGAGTTAGCAAGTGCTCGTGAAGCTTAAGCTGGGGGTCACAGACTCTGTCACAGTGGTGGTGACGAAAGCCGCGCAGAGCGACGATCTTGAGGACAAAGAAGGGTCCTTTCGAGCAGTACCAACGACTTGGCGGCCGCAGTTGTTGTTACAGATCGATGCCGCTGTCAGTGAGGGGAGCGCCAGGGCGATCTGGAAAAGGACGTTGTGCTTCATCTTGAGATGAGAAGAATGGTAGTGATGAAGTATGAAGATGTTGGGTGATGAGGAAGTTGTTATTACGTGGTAGATAGCCAGGCTACTTATACCTTATTTCCAGGTTCATTCAGCTACATGCGAGGCTCATCGCGATGCTATTTCGAGACGCTCGGCAGTTGACCAAACACCGCCAACGCTTCTCGAGCTAATTTCCACCCACCAGCTGGGGTCGAACATGGCGACATGGAACCGGAGATCCCGGTGCGGTGTTTGGTAGAGATCTGGATGTAGGATTACCCCATATATTGAAATTTCTGAGACATATTCTGGGGAGTTTACGCTCAAGTTTAACCCTGCGCAAGCCACGCAAACCGCCCCTCTGGAGCTTCATCCCTTGCAGAACGCCATGGCATGCCATTTACCAAACACGGCCCAGACTACCGGGTTTTCGTGACTTCAGCTGCGAAGCGAGGTGACATTTTGGGTTGACTGGTATTCAGCCATGTGGTAGAGAGGAGGTAGGGCTGAGCAAATTGATTCGTTCGGAGACGCCAGAGAGTCGGTGGCTGCGAGGTGGAATGGAAGGCTGAGCTGTGGTCAACCGCGTTTTCTCACTACAACAGAACGATTCGTGAAATGCAAGAGAATGAACACGACGTGATTGAGGTCTATCGCTTGCTTGTAGCAGCCTAGGTTTGATCGGCTTGAATCTCCCTTGACTACCTCTGGGATTATGTCCACGAACAGACGATCCTGTTCTGTCGGGGTACCACCACTTGGGTCATCGAGCATTTGACAACCTTCAGCTGGGGTTGATCCATGTTCCCTGCCCAGAAGCTAAACTAGTCGACATGGTGGATGTGGAAATATTACGAGATGTCACTTCGTCGTGATGACGTTGCTAAGGATGTTTCCCTCTATTTCGCCATCGTTCGGAATCTGATACTGGTTGCCCGAATCCGCATATGGACTTTCAGCACATAATGACTTTAATTGCTATAATCAAACCTCTCTATCTATATGTCACAGCTTTCCGTTATTTCCCTGCCTTCTAAACAGCTCCCTCAACTCGCGACCATAATCGTTGCCGTTGGGGAGTCTCTGTATTGTGTGGATGTGATACTTTGCGGGCTCTTCGTTGGTAAGAAACACGCCAGAGTGATGATCGAACTCGAACAACGCCACAGGGCTCTGGATCCGATAGTAAAAGGGGTCGGCTGGACCGAAGCCACCAATCCAGGCGAAATAAGTCTCCGATAGGTATGCTCGTATGTGCCCCAGCCTGTGCTTGAGCGGTTCAGGCGGCAGGAGTACCAAGAATTCAGAGACAATCGACATGAGCAACTCTTGCTGCTCCGTTGTCATTTCGGTGACTAGCACGCCCTCATATGGAATAATCCTGTTGTCGTGGAAAGCGCCAGCCAAGTGTCTCTGGTCAATCAAGTCAGCATACGGCCAGATTGTTCAGCGTCAATGAACAGGATTACCTGATCAGCTGGGTGCCAGCGGTCTTCCGACATGGCTGGATCATGCATTTGGGAGTACACTTGGGCTTTCTTCTGTATCCCTGGGGATAGAGATTGCATAAGGCGCAGTCCCAGCTGGCTCTCATTCGCACAGAGAGTCAAACCCTTGTCGGGCCCTTCATCGATGATCTGGGAACCTGTCAGCTGACTCGACTAAAATAATCCATGCTGAGAACTGACGCTTGGCTCGGCGCCAATGAAAACAGGACCTATCGCCATCTGCTCTCCTGCGATAAATACATTGAGAGCGAGGTGGTGGCCATATAGCATGAACGCCCATGGCGCCGTCTCAGAAGGCTCGCCGAATATTGTGAAGCTTGGAACGGACAGTTAGAGAGACTTCTCCGAAAAAGATGGTGGCCTCGCTCACAAGTAACTGTGTTCATTCAAGATGGCTTCTTTGCCGCAGATCTCTCCCAGGAACTTGTTGGTCTTCATGGCACCCTGGACTTTGGCGAAGCCGCTTTTACTCAAAGAATGCTTGAGGATCTTCATCACGGCGTCGACTTTGACCTTCTCAATATGTTCGAGCCGCAGGCCGCACCTGAATATAATTATCTCTGGGTTGATCCACTTTCTCCTGTCATCTTCAGTTTGAGCATGTCTTTCAAGATCTGGATCAGGACTTGCTCAACTCACCACTCTTCAGAATCCAGATCTCTCACTGCGGCCTCCTTCTCATCAGGGCTGAGGAGTCGTATGAAATCATGTGCTGCTTTCACCTTCAGACTGGTCAGCATATGTAATCTCTCGTCATTGGTGACGGACCATCTGCTTCGTAGGTGCTCCTTCATTCTGGAGTTTGTACAGTTCATCCCTCTTCTGGCCATCGGTCGTGATTCCATGGAATGGAGTTCCGAGGTTGGAAGAACGGCTGCCCCATATCGCCTTGAATCTCTCGTTCTTCACAATGGCCTCCGAGTACTTGTAAGGGTCGCTGGTGTCGATACCGTCAAACCGAGCCCAATCTGAGACACTTTGTTAGTCCGACCTGCTCGCAAATCTCGCACATCTCCCGACTTTCCTTTTGGGGGCACAAATCGATGATAGTCGAACGCGCGAGTCTCTTCCTCAGACTGAGCCATCTTGAATGAGAGACAAAACAGATTGCCGGGCATCCCGAATCGACGGAGCCTCTGAGGGGTAGATGTGACAAGCCGATGTTGCAACAGAAAGTAACGCACACACGTAGTCAGCGAACCGGATTCGTCCCATCAACCCCAACTCCCCGAACCCCGTCTCCATGGAAATAGGAGTTAATTGCGAAGTCGCTCCCTCTTTTCTACAAATCCGGTCAAGCTCCCCGCTCGGAGCTCCGACAAAGACACTCGTCCATATCTCAGTTGAAAGTCATTTTTCTAGAAGAAACACATGCAATCATGTCGTCGTTTTGCACCACTGTTTCTCTCCCACAAACACCTTCATCGAAAGGTCCGCCTCCAGAATGACCGTCACAGAGTCCAACGGAGCAGGCGCAAAGTACGCGAACGTCAATTTGACCCCTGACGCTACGCCTTATGACTCTGTTCTCTTTCAAGACATTGTGCGACAGCTCGAAGAAGTCGAGAATGGCCAGATTCGCGAAGTTGCGCCCGCAATAATTGTGAGTGCTGTTCTGTCTTTGATGGAAAACGACCTAGACTAACTAAAACTAGGGCTCTATGCTTTGCGCTCAGCATCGAGGGGACTCGCTGCCGAAGCTCTTTCGCGATGTTACCAAAGACAAGGACGACGAAGAAGTCAAAGCCTTGTTTGCAACCTTCAGAACTGCCCTCACCCTGATCTGGCCATTCATCGGCTTGCCTCAGTGTGTCCCAGCCAGCTTGGGCTTGGTTGGGGAGATGCGGGAACGTGACATTTTCATGACCGACCAGATGGACAGGTAAGACCTGAATGCATTTCACGTGGCTAAGCCATGGTAAAACTAACAAGAGTCGATTCGGTTCAGACCTTTTCTTTCCGAGGCCAACTGGCATCAAAAGGGGCTGGAGACTAGGAAGACCATATATCGCACCGCGGCGAATTCAGAAGTCATGAACATGATGGGTGGTTTCTTCCCCGAACTGAGTGAGCATTCCTCTTCAAATAGGCTGTGACCACATACTCACACTTGCAACAAGCATACATGACCCACGCGGTCGTCTTTGGGTTCGTGATCGGGGGTTCTGAGAAGACACAAGGCCTCCCGCTCTGTGAGACCATCATTGCCGGTGCAGTGGCCGCGCTGGGGGCTACGAGGCAGACAAAGACTCACTTCAAAGGTGCCATGGGCTTGGGCATCTCCGCGGCGGCGATTCAGGCCGTCTGGCAGGCCGCAGAACAGGTGGCAGAATGGAACGGCGGCAGACTTCCCGCGCAGATTGACGTTGCGGTGTTGGCGGATGAGGTTGGGATGAGGCTCGAGAGCCGAGGCAGAATGTAGACAGCCTGTGCAGACAGAGGCTTCTCGAGGAGCACTTCTCCGTACAGAGTTAGCACCTGAAAGCTGGGGATGCTTGGTACCCCTGGAGACGAAAGCGTACGGTCGAGGTATCAGTAACCGAGTTAAGTCGACGCCATTTGCTGAATTTAAAAGTTTGGCCTCCCGGACAAATCATTAGCTTCTAAGGTCTCGCGTTTTGAATCCGTTCTTGTTTCTGCCAGATATCAGATGGCACGTGTAGTTGAACAGACAGCAGCAGCATATTTCTGCGTTTAAAGTCATCCGCGAATAATCCAATCGTTTGGATTCCGTCATCTATCTGTCTGGGATCCGTTGACAGGTCGGCCGTTGGAATACTGGAGTTCCATGTCTCAATGTTGACCTCTCTTGCCTTTCCCTTGGGCCGAGTGTCTGCTATTGGTAGTTGCTGCCTCTCAAAGCATCGTCCATGCTCCCCCTTCCCCCTCCCCTCCCGTCCTCTCGAAGCGGCTCCTTCCTTAGAAGAACCTACCACACACTCCGTAGGCAGTACATCCTTCCCCAAAAGGCCTGAAGGTATTTAGAGGAGAATGTTGGGAGAATCTTCAACACAGTACGAGTCGTCCCAGTGATGTAAAACAGGCGATGTTAACTGGGCTTCCGCTCACAGTGGGTAGAGGGTTAAAAATGGTCGACTGAGGGACACGTTCACTTGACTCTATGAAAGGTTGCGGGGGGTTCATTTTTTGCTCTTTTGAAGATCATTCTTGCACGAGAAGAATCGCGTTTCTCGTCACATCATTTCCGTATATCTGGTCCCGGAATGCATCGTCTGGCCGCTGGGGCAAAACAAGTAGAAGTGTTCGCATCGGGGGATAATCGAACACCGCCCTTCACGATTTTCCCGTTTTCTTGATCAAACCAACTAGACCAACAATTCTCGCACGGTGGAAGCATCTATGCATTGACGTTGCGGAAGGTCGAGGCAAGAGTTGGTCCTGCTCATTGAGGGTCCTCTGGAATGCGGGACGATCCTCCGGGGAAGGCTTGCTCAAGCGGGTATTTAGTAGGCAAGCACGCCTTCCACTCTCTCATTCGTCATCTCATTTTGATATCATTCCAAACTTGGGCCGCAGAGAACTCATGAAATGGAAATATGAATCAACAACGACGAACTACGTCTGGAGGGATAACAACAGAGCAACGTGACAGGGGGAAATCGTTCCATTAGAAACGCATGATTTGGAGCTGCGAAATTGCGGACCAGATCAGGAGAACTCAGATATGAAATCCTTGAAGTCTTAAGATTTTCCCCTCGAGGGGAAACGGCTCCGTGATTGTCTTCTCATCACTGTTCCCGCTCGCTTTTCATCCCTGTTGCCGTAGGTCTACCATGGAGCAGACGTGTAGCGACGGAGCTAACTTCAGGGGAGTGTGAGCAGAGACCTTCCAACGCATCTCCATGCAGCAAGAACGTAGCTTACTCGACGCAACACTTACTTCGACATACATAGGTAAGGTAGGCAAGAAGAGGCCCACCCCTCCTTCCCTCAAGCAAGGTCAGCAGCATCACCTGCCCACCTGCCTCCCGTCCTAGGCACCATCCCTTTATATTGTAGAAATGTGTCGAAAGATTCCAACACAGTCCCAATGATGATACAAAAAAACTGCTTTTCATCGCTGAGCCAGGAGCTACGCTCCAATGTGCTAAGACCATATTAAACTGAGGGACCAGGACTTCCTCAGATGAGGGGTTCTTCTTTTTATAACTTTCGAACCCCCCTTTTTTTCTTGCAAGCTTTCCCACCTTGTGTGCTACAAAGATGCACAGGGTACCAAAAGTTTCGCCGCATTTACCTCTATGGTTATCTGGATTTTGCATGGTGACTCACACGTGTGTCTGGGGGCAAAACAGATTTCCCATATCCATACACGGAGGATCGAACTATAACTCCCACGATAGCCACACATCAGAGCTTGAGAACCATTCAACCACTGAGCCTCACACAGTAGCAAGCACAGTGAAGGGAGACGGCAGGAGTGGCGCGGCAGGATGTGTCCTGGGAGAAGGAGGCGCAGTCGGTCCTGCTGGTTTGATGTTGTAAGGTTTTGTGGGAGGCAAGAGCAACCGCATTAAGCAATGGTCCCCGGTCAAGGAAGCGCAGTGCAGAATCGTCTCACTGAACTTCAATCTATTTCGAGATGCGTTAAAAAAATCACCAGTCAATTGCAATGGTGAGTTTGGAAGCCTGAAGCGGCCAGCACGGAGTGGTTTACCGTATGTGCACATAAGCTAGCAATAAAGTAGGAGACAAGGTCGAAAGGACCTCTATTCCGCAGTCATTAAACTCTGGCGCTAGACTCGCCAGAAGAAACACCTTATTTATCCCATACTCTATAGGTACGAGCACCTCTGCAGACACACTCGGCAGCTCGAGCTTGTAGAGAAATATCACTCTTGACAAGAGAACGGCAAGGTGAAGTACGCACAGACATATTATGTTCAATTAACATTATTTTAACCAAGTATTGTCTAAACTTAACCCTTGACCTCGCCAAACTCACGCGCAGTCCTGCTGCTGCGCGCCAGCCGGTCGCCGTATCTGATGAAGATGAAGGGAATCACGCCCATGGCCAGCGCGATGAAACCCAGCACTGAAGGTGCCCAGTGCACCCCGAGATTGGTGTACATGCTGTTGGCTGCCAGGGGCAGCGTGATGGCTCCGATGGACCGCGTCATGCTGGCGGCTGCGTGCGCTGATGCGGAGTACTGGCGGAAGACGTCCGTCAAATAATTGATCATTCCCATGAAAAGCAGTTGGAAGCCACAACCGAAGAAGACGCCGCTCAGCATGGGGATGATTGGAGACGTTGACGGCCAGACGGTCCAGCCGAGCCAGAAGAGGGAGATGACCATCCTGAGAGCCGAGTTAGCTAACTGGCCAAGAGGTTTACAATGACTTGAGGTACTTACAGGGGAGAGGCAAAGCATGCGAGAGGCAGTCTACGGTAGATTTCGTTCTTGGTCCACTCCGCGCCAGCCTTGCTCTGACGGTCATGGTACCAAGTGAAGGCACCGAAGAAAAAGAGCGAGATGATGACACCGACGGCCTCTGTGGTGAACTTGTTAGACGCGTTGGATTAGGCAACACAGGTTACTTACGAGGAATGAAAGCCAAGCCGGCCATCGCGGGAGAAAGCCCATAAAATCCTTGGAAAATGACGGGATATGCTTGGAACATGAGGTAAAAGACAGAGTATGCCAATGCAAGGTACGCAGAGGTGCAGAACAGAATCGGCTCGGTGACGAGGAGCGTCACCGGGCGAAGAAAAATCTTTTGGACGTCAAACGGCTTCAGCTCGAGTTGCTGCCCGGTCTCCTCATCTGCACCTTGCTTCTTGATCGTCTTCTTGACGGCCTTGTTGTGGAGAACCGGTGCATATGTCTCTGGCAGGGTGAGAACCAGAGGCAACCCCAGTGCGGCAATCATTCCAGCAATCCAGAACGGCCAACGCCACGACATTGGTGATGAGAATCCCGAGATGATGGGGCCAATCAGGGGTCCGATGGTCGTCACGGTCATGTAGAGAGCCATGGCGTTGCCTCGGACGGAGGCGTCATCAAAGATGTCGGCATAGAGCCCGCCGAGGACACTTGTGGGTGCAGCGGCGTTGATGCCGCAGAGCAAGCGGAAGAGCAGAAGCGCTGCGTAGTTGGGAGCCCCTGAGCAAGCGAGCATGAAGATGAGGTAGCCGAGGAACGTTCCAATGAGGACTGGACGGCGACCGATATATTCGCTGAGAGGAGCGAAGACGAGAGGACCAATGACTATTGGCAAATGTCAGAATTGAGACGCATTGCAGAGTGCCGCCTAAGCATGACATACCATAGCCCACCATGAAGAGTGAGTTGAGGAGGATGAGATGAACGCGGTTGGTTACACCAAATTCGGCGCTAATTGCGTTGAGAGCGCCCGAGGGCATCGATGAGCCCAAGTTGCCGTTGAATGTACATGTGAAACCGGCAATGACAATGTGCAATTTTCTCATCTGGGACGTGTCAGGGCTGGCACTCGCGTCGCATGCATGTTGGGAACATGGCGTACCGGCGAGAATTTTGTCGCATCAACTACTTGGTGTTTCTCCCACGAGGGATCGTCAGAGACGTTCCCATGGTCCTCAACGTCGATAGTTGGCTGGTTGTCCTGGACAAAGCCGCCAAAGCGCTCGGTGTCTGAACCCATGTTCACGGTTGATGCAGGCTAAGAGTTCACTCAGAATTCAACGAGAAATGTCTTTTTGAACTTGGCCTGACCTACTTAGAGCACCACCGACAGACTCGACAACAGGAGCGATTGCCCTTTTGTATTCTCATTTTACGTACTCTGTGTTTCATTGACCGCTTGAAAAAATTCTCGAACTATTACAATTCTTTTCATGTGGCTCAAAGGCAGTTTCGTGAAGTAATATGGGCCACTTGGACGCAGGGAAACGGTGCAAGTCCATTGGCTCCTTTCGCCGAGTCTCTTGAGTCGGGAATCGACTGGCTGACAAAGCGGGTCAGCTCCCTCCAGGTCATTGGCCAATTTCGCCGAGCACATGAAAACCGACCAAAAAACAAATTTCCGAGCGCTGCTCGGTTTTTCCTCCTTCATCCACAATTGGGGCGATACAACCCAACTCCCGACTCATACCAGTCGACATGCTCCCGCAACCCGACGTTAACCTTCCAACCTTTGTGGCCTTCTCGGTAATAGGGCCCCTTATCTCGTCAATCCATCGGTAATGGTGACAGCAGGGCGTGCTGTTGGGCGCAGGGCGCATCGAAGCCCGATGTCGAAAAGATCGAGAACCAGTATGGAACCCGATCTCGGCTCTTGTCCGTGCTTGCGTTGAGCCAGATCCCCTGCTAACCATGCCGCAGACGGGAGAGCGTGTCTGACATGTCACCGGAGGAAAGTCAAGTGCGATATCCTCGAAAAGGGCGCTCCTTGCTCAAAATGTCAGGCGAACAACATTTCCGACTGTCAGATTTATGAGAAAAAGAGAACCCGGCTGTCGGCTCGCACTGCCCTGAGCTCCAATGTGCCAATCCAACCACGATCAGTCGGCTCCCAGTCAGCGACGGCGCCTGCAACACCCATTCCGGCGAGATCCAGTCCTTGGGAAGATGTCACCGCTTCCGTCCCGCGGCCGAGCTCAGCATGCGATGCAACCGCTCAGGCTGACCGCGAAGGCGACGAAGATGCCACGCGCAACATGGCCGACTTTCTAAATAGGCAAGAAGTTGAGTTTCCAGAGATCACACGCTGTGGCCGCCTATTCTTCATCGGCACCGAGTTCTCCAACCTCCACTATCTGGTGCGGCAGCGCTCGAGGAGGCCAGACCAAAGCGTGCTGCATTTTGGAAGCCAGCCGCTTGCCCCAAAGGTACCGTCAGTACCGGCCGAGGTCCTCGAGCTACCGCCAAAGGCCTTGGCTGATGAACTGGTCAAGGCATACTTTGCCCATGTCAACCGTGGCTTGCCCATCATTGACGAAGAAGACTTCATGAGAATTTACAATGGCACAGAGGGCAGCGGCCACGTCCCTCGATGCAGGCCACATTGCAGACCATTGTCCTTGTTGTTGCTCAATGCCGTCTTCCTCGTCGGGGCACGCGTGCTCGAAACGGGAAGAGAAGAGATCAAGTCCCTCAGGTCCGTATTCTTTAGAAGGACCAAGGCCCTCTTTGACTGCCGTTTTGAGCAACATCGCGAGGTTTACTTGCAGGCCTCGCTCCTCCTGACCTGGAAGTGCGACGACCTCGAAGACATTGTTTCCAACACTTGGCATTGGGTAGGTGTCGCGACGCGGACGGCATTCGGCATGGGCATGCATCGAGATGCGACACCCTCTAGTCTGAACGCCATGGATAAACGGCTGTGGATTCGGCTGTGGTGGATTCTCTTTCAGTTCGACGTCATAGGATCTACATCCTACGGCCGGCCTCAAGCCATGCAAGTTTCTATCCCACACGCTCCAGATCTCCTACTTATGCTGACGGCGAATGATGACATTAGAAACCTTGACGAGTCAGACGTCCCGCCACTAGAAGAGCAACATTTCGAGGGCATATTGAACGCAGAACACGACTTCACCATCCAGCACACACGCCTCTGCCTCATTTTCTCCAAAGCAATGCGGAAGAGGGTCGCCCTCCGATCCACCGCCGCAGACCGAGCCGCCGCAACCGCAGAAGCGGATGCTGCGCTGGCAGACTTGATAGAACATCTTCCCGAAAAACTCCAAAACTCCAAATCTGACCCAAACCCATGGCAGGCAATGTTCCATCTCACGTATAATAACTTCCTGATTCTGCTTCACCGGCCTTCTCCCAGGCAAGACCCAGAGAGCCCCCCGTCTACATCAGACACCGACCTCAGCATATGTTGCGACGCAGCCATCACAATCTGCTCCATTTTCGAGTCCATGCGGAATAGGAACTTATTGGCTAAGCTCTGGATACCAAGCATCCATGTGCTCTTTACCGCTCTAGTGCATGTATCGGATCAGATGCATTCCTCTAACCCGCTCATCGTGGCCAAGTCCAAACGCCTCTTTGACTCGCTGATAGCAACGTTGCATGCCCTCAAGGACCAGTGGTTGTACGCGCAGAGTCTCTTGGCGCTGTTTGAGGGGCGGAATATAGCAGGACCCAGGCGAAATCGGCTCCAGGCCGCAGACTCTGCTGGGGAGGGTGATCTTCTCCGTCACGGTGGTGGCTCCGGTACGGCTCAACCCCAAGACAACATCGGAATTACAAATGGTGTTCTCAACGGCTCGATTGCAGGCTTGCCAGTCAGTAGCCAACCTGGACAGCCCGTACCGGCCTACTTGGCGCCCATCAATCTTGATCCAGCTGACCCAAGGCGCCTTGGGGCTCACCAACAAGATGCCGTTGTCGGGGACGTTGCAGCGAACAATCACATTTATGGCACGAGCTTTGTCGGAGATGATCTAGGCCTGGCTGGTGATGCTGACGACATGGACATGCTACAGGTGCCTTCGGCGTTGGAGTTGCTTCTCGCAGGCGTTGGCAATGATTTTGGCTTCCATTACTGACCCCGAGCTCAAGTACTCGCCCTCATGACCTTGTTCAAAGCACGTGCGACGACCCAATCAAAGCTTCAGCAGGTCTCACCCTCTATGGCTCTTTTTGGCAGAAATCTGCTGTACCCGATAGTAATGCTCAGCTTGACCTCAATACACATACAATTTAGTTCATGGATCGGGCTACCCGAAAAGCTCTGGTCGTCTTGAGGGGAATTTGTTTATTTCTCTAAAGTATCTATGTCTAATTTCTCTCGCCGTCTAGTCGAGACAGTAGCTCACTTTTGGGAGCTTCATCAGCCCACGTTCTTCTCGGCAACTCAAAAGTAGACGATACACGGCCATATGAGATGCCTCCCAGCTGGGCAATAGGCCGCAGCTTCTCCAGCTCAATGTGGCTGGCATCGGCATTCGTCGCATCTTCCTGCACCCAGAACCGCGACGCCTTGATCAACACCATACCAGCCACGCTCTTCCCCTCCCCATCCGAGTGGTCGCTGAACTCCTTGATGTCGACGACCTTCCCCTCGATGGACAGAACAGACTCTCGCACGCGGGAGGGCCGCACCGTCGTCGAGGGCGCTTCGTGCAGACCCGAGACGTCCCATTCCGATACCCCGTACGGGGCGTCGAGCGACGTCGCATTGACAGCCTCGATCATGTTCTCGGACACCGTGTTGATGACGCACTCGCCTGACTCCTTGAGGTTGCGGTGCGTGTCCTTGGACCGGCCGGCCCTCGCCGAGAAGCCGACCACGAACATGGGCGGATCGTGGTCGATGACCTGGAAGTAGCTGAACGGGGCGAGGTTTTTTGTTGTACCGTCGCCGGAGACGGTGCTGATGAATCCAACGGGCCGCGGCGCGATGCCGGAGATGAGCAGACGGTAGTTGTTGATGGCCGGCCTGTCCGCGGCGTAAGGATCAATTTCGAGGTGGTTTTTGGGCGTGAATCCCGGGACTCCGTCGCCGTACTGCCAGTTAGGGTTCGGATTCTTGGTGACTTGTATCGGAGCATTTGACTTGTCGAAATCAGGCCGACTCGCTTGTCTCTTGTCGAAGTCGTGGATCTTTTCTACTATCTGGCTGCTCGCGGCTGGTGGCGCCGAAGTCGCCGCTACTGCGGAGGAACTCATCCTGAAGTGCGCCGTTGATGCTGCATGAGATTTCCCGGGTCGAACGAAACGTGAGCTTGTTATTGTCAGTTTCGATTCTCAATAAGTTCACGAAACGAGACATACCTCTGGGTAACAATCTGCCTTACAGATCTAGCAATCATTGTGAAGCTTGGCAATTCTTCAGTGAGTTCATTAATAATCAAGTTCTTGTGAATATGCGGAGATGAAAAATTGCTGATATTTCATGCAAACGCAATTCTCAAGTGAGAGCGAGACGTTCGACGAGATCACGCAAAGTCGGGTGCGCGATCCCGACGGGGTGTGGGGCCGGAGAGTGCTCTCCGATGCAGCCCCGGGGACCATGTCTCGGAACTTCAACCGAAGCCATACTCATCTTCGAGGTGTTCGGAGGACTGTGGTTATCGGGTCGATCGCAACTGTGGTCTCTTCTCCGGTGGTTCGCAATTCTGGATTTGGTGGGTGACACGTTCGCGTAGCAAAAACCTTGCTCGATTTCCCTAAAGGAGCTTGATTTTTGATGTATATCTCGGAGTGGGGGAGCAACCAAAGCAATAAATCAGAAAGGGAGTGATTCGAACGCCCGAACTACAAAAAGGATCTGTAGGAGGTTAGGATGCTGCAGGGCTGAAAGGGGGCCAGCCTTAACCACTGCGGCATACACACTCAACAAGCGATCGGAGCCTCGTGACAGAATCGGTGAGGAAACTGCCCTATTCACCCTGAACATGTGATGAGACACCCACAGACAAGGTGAAAGGTGATATAAATGCCCCACAATCGCTCACCTTCACTTTGGAATTCAGGACTTGGGTTAGTCAAAAGACATGGGGTCAGAAGGTGCGGAATTCTTTGATCCACCGGCCTTACACCGTGTGGTTCTCCTAAAATTATCTTCGATTCTAGTGCTTGCAGTTGCGAATATAATGTCCAGAGAGATATGCCTGTATTCAAGCACGACAGGTAGAGACCATGTAATGAATCACCTAGGCTTGCTGAACTGGCGAGACCCGTTGATCACCGCTTCCGCAAACGTTCCTCTCGTCCCAGCTTTCTCTACCGTAATCAACGACTGAATGGTTCCTCCTCTTGGTGAAGAGATTGCTTCCCTCATCAAAGCAGTCTGTTCTCCGTTCTCCAGCACCGACACCAGACCTTGTAATCCTTGGACCACCAAATATCTGGCTTCAGACCTCTTGAGCCCCTCAGCAACAGCACCATCCAGGAGGCCATCCAGAGGTACCGAGATAGTGGCGAGGCAGGCCGTGACTAGCATGGAACCAACATTCATCAAGTCAGGCGGCAGGATCCTCAACTTTCCAACGCGCGAGAAAATAGATTTCAAAACGTGTGTTTCCTGATCTGGCAGGTTGTCGGGAATTTCCAGCACAGTCATCGACTGCCGATAGCGACACGCGACGGTGGGGAGGGCACGGGTGAAGTGTATGCACCTCTTGCTCTTCATTCCAACACCATTAGACGATGCCAGCTGATTGAGCTCTTCTACTGTCAGCCCTGCAAGCATGCTGACTACCAGCTTTCCCTCGAGCGCATCCAGGAAGCCCGGAGTGTCGAATACACCGGCAGCCATGTATGGTTTGAAGCCGAGGATGACGATGCCTCCCGCTTCAGCAGCTTTCACCGGCTCGCCGTGAGTGATTTTGACTCGGCTGGCGTCCTCTCCCAGTGACTCGGAAAGCATACCGGCCGATCTCGACGTCTTTGTACATGCGATGAAATGAAATTCGTCTGGCTTTGGGACTTCTGGATTAGGTGACGCGCAAGAATCGAGGAGCCCGCGGAGCAGAGCAGAGCCCATGGAGCCTGTCGTACATTCGTCAGCAATCTATCAGTTGAGATGATGAGTAACATACCGCAGCCGATGAAGGAGATAGTCTGCTTCTCTGTTACCATGGCGGATTGCTGCATATCGTGACTCCAGTGACAGTCCGCAGGTTTCCATTCGACATTTGGAACGCATCAGAATCGCCATCATTCCAAAATCACGTTGGTTGCAACTGTCGGGTCGTCTCTCCCGACACCCTCGGCACCCCATTCTTCATCCTTGATAAGGACCTGCAGCCGGATCAGCTTCCGCTAGCCCCTCCTCCGAATCCGCAGTCCATCGCTGCCAAGAAGTCGGGCATGTCCAATTGATCGGCCCAATCGAGTAAGGCATTGGAGGAAGGTTCGAGGCAATCCATCGCGGTAAAGTCCCTGTCCGGCTCATCGATGTACTCCGGAACCGGCCACTGGGTGTCGTCTCCGGGATCCAAACCGGATGGGTCGGAGGGCCCAGAGTAGCGAGGGGTAATCGATTCCAAGGTCCTCTCTAGCTGCTGAAGCTCTTGTTGACGCAGCGGTGCGACCACACTGCCATTATCGACCATATGCCGGAGTATGTGGTTGATGTCGTCCCGCCACCCGCTGTCGGGAAGCAGAGAAGGACTGATGACCCGGAGGAGATGAAGTAGAAAGGCCGAAGAGTACGCATCCTCCAAGTCGAAGGGCATGAAGGATTCTGTAACCGCTTTGGTCAGCTAATGTTGTTCTCGCATAGATCAAACATGTTAAGAGCTACCTAGAAGGTCCCCTTCACTAAGCACAAACAAGGTCCGGAGAGTCGTACGCGCCGAGTCAACGCAGGACCGCAGGATCGACGACATCGGCGGCCGCAGTTCTAGGCTCTCGAAATGTTCGGAGTTTGCGCGCTCTAGGTGCAAGTGAAGAGCACACATGACCAGAGGTCTTGTTGTCAAAACGACACACTGTGAGTCTCTTGGTCAGCTGCGAAGGGCCCTGGTGTCGAATATGATGATTTTAGATTATACGTACGTGGTGATACGAAAGCATCAACCTCAAGACTGTTCGAGATGCCCTTGGAATCTGGCCGTCAAAATGCGTGTCCAAGAGATCATGGAGCTCCGTTGAAATCTGCGCCAGTGTGCGAAGATTCGACTGAATGTGTTTGACAAGAGAGCCGTCGAACTCGTGACCGACACCATACACGGCTACAAAACGTCAGTGTCCTTTTGATTCTCAGTCCGGCGGTCTGATGAGCTCACTCGTCAGGATTGTCGCCATCAACCGTGACAAGCGCACGTGTAGAGACATGCTCAGAGCTTCCAGAGAGTTGCTAGTCAAGCACGGAAGCTGGGCAGTGATCTGCTGGTTATGGATGCCGGCGGTACCGCCCATAAGCGCGGAAAACTCGGAATCGATAATGTGAGTGACCCAGAAGATGAGATTGTATCGGCGTGAGAGTTCGGGCCCAAAGATGTGCTCCGGCATGTGGCGATGCATGCCTATACACACACAAAGGCGCGACGCCTGTCCGATCTGCAAACAACGTCAGTCGTCTTGGATGAGAATCCAAGAACTTGAGGCTTACATATTGGAACGCTGCGACTCTCAGATCGATGGATTGCAGATAGACGGCTGCCAGCACAAGAACCTGCACCGAAAGCAACGAGTCCCCGCCCAAGTCGCCTTGTCTAGGCAGCAGCGTCATTGCTCTTTCTGCAAACGCGTGGCCCGGCGGCTTCCCACGAGCGCACCTCCTCCGAAGCACAAACGCTTTTCCAAATGCCAGGATGAGAAGGTGCTGGGCGTACCAGAGCCGACAAGAGGCCGCCTTACGTGCCGGGTTTTCGTACAGCTCATTTAGGTTTTTGAGGTAAGTGCTTTCGTCTATCAAATGATTCAGCAGGCCAAAGTATGACTTGGCTGCGTAAAACAACGACTTTGAAAAGTCGATGGAGGGCAAGTCGGACACGACTGGGACGTCGCCCCGTTGGGTGGAATGCCACTCCATCTCGCAGGCTTTACCATCGGTGTTGAAGGGGTCGAGCGTGCTTTCGGTCCCTGGCGACATCGTTCTGCCTAACAGTCCGAGGACTCTGCGACAGAACGCCCAAGACGAGGACGGCGCCATGTACCCTACGGAGAGAATCAATTGACAGTCGGGCTTTCAGGAGGGAGGCGTGAAGGTTGCAGGGGTTCACTTACAGAATCGTCCTTCTGCAGGGCGGAATGGAGGGTCATGCTCTTCAGGACGACTCTTCTTGAGTAATGACTGGATTTCATCGTGATCTGTTGAATCATCATCGTCCACAGGTCTGCCCAAAGATGATACAGCGATGCCGATGGAAAGGGGTCTGTCGCCAGATACGTTTGTTGTGTCTGTCTCCGCTTGATCTAAGATATTCCTCAACTTAGCAATTCGGTCAAATAAAGATGGAGCATTTCAAATACTTTGATCAGTAATGCCAGATCCTCTGCGGTTCCAGCTTGGTTGAATCGCTTCCTCTTGGATTATGCTGGCTCCTACGGTCCTCAACCGTCTGGCGCTATTTCGCCCGTCCAATGTCGACAAGGCTTCCCTCTCGATTCTCCCATCTTCGAGGTCAGTTGACGTCCTTGGCGTCACTTCGTCTGATGAACGATCTCCTCCTCTTGTCAGCTGATGTGATTGTTGAAGTTCCAAAAGGTAGCTGCAGCACAGAGAGCAAGACACGAGGTCAGCACAAAGATGAACCCCGAGTGACCAGGAAAATGGATTCTATTGGCGGACCTCTCAGGGACGAGAACTCGTTTAATGCCCGGCGCATATACACATGTCTCGCTCTGACGCTCACACCGAGCGCATGGCTGCCGGCCGGAGCATTTGACTTTCATTGACCGACATCTCTCACACCTAAGGTATGTTTGTCAGCTCGGGTCCGACCTGTCTTTGAGACACGTACGCTCTGGAGCATTTCTTGGTGACGCGATGACCGTTCCGTGGAGTCGACATGGTCTGTAAGCCTGAAGCGTGGTCAGGAGAGCGCTGTGTCGGAGGCGCGATCCCGACGTCTTATGTAGCGCACGGGGCAGGCCGCTTTCGGAGCCCGGCTCGGGACCGGGGGCCCGATGTGCGGGAAGTCCCACGATAGCTCCTTATCTACAAACGCGGGGTGGCGGGGTCAACATCCTAGCTGCATCACCATGCGACGCAGTGATCTCGTAATTTGCTGCATTTGGGTCGTCTACGCGACAGTGACATGTCGCATGGAGACGAAAAAAGTAGGTAATAGCGGTGGCCACCGACGACAACCTAAAGCATTCAGACATCACCAATTGTTCTGCTGAGATTGTCCAAGAAACTGAATTGACTGCTACGCTAATTCAATAACCATCAAGCATCATTCGATGGGTACTGCACCCTCTCTAGAGGAACAAAGTCCTCCTTGATAGACCTCACACTTGCAAAACGCTGCATGTGCGCCATGGTGCCGGTCTTGTCGTTCGTGCCAGAGTCACGGCTTCCGCCGAATGGCTGCTGAGCAACCAGAGAGCCGGTGCACTTGCTGTTGATATACAGCATTCCCGCGGCATGCTTGAGGGCAGTCTGCGCCTCTCTGGACGCGTATGGATCCTTGGCAAAGATGCTGCCGGTGAGGCCATAACGGGATGTCGTATCCAGGGTCTTCAACGTCTGCTCCCACTCCTCATCAGGATACACGTACACGCCTAGGATGGGACCGAACAGCTCGCGAGACATGATATCATGCCGCGGGTTGGACGTCCTGTACACGGTTGGGTGAACAAAGAATCCCTCGGCCTTAGAAGCTTTGCCGCCCGCGACGAGCTCCAGCTCCGGGTCCGTCTCGGCATCCTCAATCACCTTGGCGAGTTTGTCGAACGAGCGCTCGTGGATGACTGGCGTGATGAAGTTGCTAAAGTCCTCCACGTCCCCGACCTTGAGCTGCGCGATCTGCTCTTCCAGGTGACGGCGGAACTCGGGCCAGACGGATTCAGCCACGTACGCTCTCGACAGCGCCGAGCACTTTTGTCCCTGGTACTCGAACGCCGCGCGAACTGCGTGGAACGCAGCGCTCTTGACGTCGGCAGAGGGGTGTACGATGGTCCAGTTCTTTCCCCCGGTCTCTCCGACGACGCGAGGGTAGGAGTTATAAGTGCCCCTGCCGACGTGGTCGCCAATTTTCTTCTGGATGCCTTTGAAGACTTGGGTTGAACCGATGAAGCTCAGACCCGCGAACTCGGGGCGTTTGAGAATGGTGTCCGTCACCTCCTCTGCGTCTCCAGGGATTAGCTGCACTACGTCCTTGGGTAGACCGGCTTCCAGAAGGATCTGGTGGAGAAGGTAGGCGGAATGAAGGGCAGAATCCGAAGGCTTCCAGATCACAACGTTTCCAAGCAGCGCAGAGGGCCCGATGAGAGTGGCTCCGAGGGCAGTGAAGTTGAACGGGGCAATGGCATAGACGAAACCCTCCAAAGGCCGGTACTCCAGCTTGTTCCACTGTCCTGACGGGTGAACCTTTGGCTGTTGGGAGAAGAGGCACCAGGCCTCCTGGATGTAGTAACGGAAGAAATCGACGGTCTCAGTAGGCGCCTCGATTTCTGCCTGCCACACGTTCTTGCCTTGGCCTATCATCGTTGACGCGACAATTTCCTGCCGGTATTTGCCGGCAATGAGCTCCGAGGCGCGCAGGAAGATGGCCGCGCGATCTTCAAACGGGAGGGCCTCCCAGGCTGGCTTGGCCTTGAGGGCAGCATCCACCGCGGCGTTGACTTGCTCCGAGTCTGCAATGGCGTACTCGGCGACTGCTTCGCGGTGCTTGGAGGGGTTCAGCTGCCGGCGTGTTGAATGCGTTTTCACCTGACTGCGTCAGTCGTCTGTCCTTCTCAACATGGAAGCAAGATCGCGTATCACCTTGACGCCGTCGATGGTTATCGGGACCTGAACCGGCATCTGGCTTTTCAACTTTCGTAGTGATTCTAGGAGACGTGCCCTCTCTGGAGAGCCTTTGGCGTATTCCAACTACAAGCCCATGGATTAGAATCGATCACTCCCTCCCCTCAAGTAGTATGGGAGACGCACCATCGGTTCGTTCTCAAATTTGGGAGGGTGAAGGAGACTCAGAAACCTCCTGCCACGACTCCGGGGCTGCGTGCGTGATGTGCACACTCGCAACACAGGACGTCCATAGCTCTGGGAGGTGCAAAAGGTCCTCATACTTGCCATTTTGAAACGAAGTGAGTGTAGGAGCACAGAATGGATCTCTGTACTCGGTCGCTCCTTGGCTTTTCAATGTGATAAGTTGGACCAAGATGGTGGAGGGCTCGGGAACGCCATCCCGATCCCCATTCTCGCGCCCCCCTCAGCCGTCGATATCCGGCAGATAGCACAGAGGATCACGGGGTAATGCAAAATGATCTCACATGACAATGAGAAGAAATGAGGGGTAGCCATGGCAAGATAAGACGTCGGGATGGCATTCCGGGCATAGGAGTTGATAGCGAGTGTAGTGCGTAACTCGAAAGACGATGAGCAAAGTTCCGGATGCCGTTGTTTATCAGCTAGGTTTCGCCCAGGGTAGTGCGCCCAGAAGAGTACGATTAGACGAACCTTCATACTGTCTCCAGCCATTCCGTTCAACATGCCTCTTCTCACCGCTGCCACAAGGCCAACCGTCAAGGCCGCCAGCATCCTTGGCGTACGCTTCTCCAGTCACGTCCAGTTAGTCAAGCAGAACAGTTGGGACTCTGAGAAGACGCCGCCAACAGCACTCTCTCGACTACCGACAAAGACGCTCCTTAGATCATTACTCCTGACTTCCTTGATGCGCCGGCGCTGGATCTCACGTCCCTCTCTGGCTGCACTCGATTACATCACCAAGTCAAAGAGCACACTCCTTAACCCTGATAAGAACCCTGCCCTGAATAAGCTGCTGCGCTGGACCATCTACAATCACTTTGCCGCAGGCACATGCCATCAGGAAGTCGTTCGGTCTACCGCGGAGACCAAGAGCATCGGATATCATGGAGTCATCATGGGCTACGCCAAGGAGTTTGTACTCGAAAACCCGTCTGGCACACAGTCCGTCGAGGTTGAGAATGGATACAGCCAATGCCACTACCGAGTGGTCGAGGATTGGAAGCAGAGTACGTTGGAAACCCTCCGCATGATTCAGCCTGGAGACTTTCTCGCCGTCAAGTAAGCTTCCTTTCACAGACTTGCAAAAACTCCATCGCTTACTCGGTGAATAGAATCACAGGAGCAGGCGCCATAGCTGTCGATGCCATGATGGCGCGGAAGCCGATGCCCAAAGTCATCGCTGATGCCATGGACGAAATCTGCCTGGAAACGCAACGACAAGGATCCAAACTTTGGATCGATGCCGAGCAGCAAGCCCTGCAGCCCATCCTGGACAATTGGACGATTGACTTCATGAGGAACTACAATAGAAATGGCCAGGCCTTGGTATACAACACCATCCAGGCCTACTTGAAAGGCTCAAAGGCAAACGCCCATCGCCACATTCAGCTTGCCGCCGAGGAGGGCTGGACCGTCGGCGTCAAGCTGGTTCGCGGTGCCTACATCGAGCACGAGGATCGCTCGCTGATCCATGATACGAAAGAAGAGACGGATCGGTCGTATGACCTCCTCGCGGATGTTTTCATTGCGCAGAAGACGCCGGATGATGCAGCTCACCTGCAGTTTCCTTCCTCGGCGTTGTTCGTGGCGACGCACAACGCTGCCAGTGCCAACAAGGCGCTGGTGAAGTACCACGAGAGACTTGAAGCTGGGCTTCCCACAGTCGGCAAGCTGGACTGTGGCCAGATTACGGGCATGGCAGATGAACTTAGTTGTCAGCTGCTGCAGACCCTAGAGCAGCGTCCGAGGGGGGTGAAAGACGAGATTTCATCTCCTGGGGTTTTCAAATACATGATTTGGGGATCGGTTTCCGAGTGTCTTGGGTACCTGCACCGTAGGGCCATCGAGAATCGGGATGCGGTTGAGCGTACGCAGCACATGGTTAAAGCGCTCAAGAGAGAGCTGCGCCGGCGTGTACTTGGCTAGGACTGCCTGGTTTGGGTGGTGACTTGTGTTTCTGCGCATGGAAATGATATGAAATTTGACTGTAGGATTCAAATCCAAAAGTGATGGACGAAACAAGTAAAAATAAACCCACGGTACGGGATTCGAACCCGTAATCTCTGGCATGTTCACGTACGACGTGAGGGGACCAGAGTCGCTACCCGGTGCGTCACCGCGGCTTGTTGATTTGTTGGAGGTTGAGAGTGAGGATTGGGAACAAAGAGGCAGCGGTTTGTTGTGAGCTTGATCGTCTTGCCTTGGAGGGAAAGGGGAGGAAGGGGCGAGGAAAGAAGGTGATTGAAACGCAGGTCGTTCCTTCCCTCTTTTCCTGTGTTCGCATATGCCACTAGGAATAATGACTTTAAGCGGAGCAACTAATGAAGTCGAATCTTAATAAAAGGACTCAGCTAGGTAAGTAGTTCTGTGGCTGCTGAGTAGAATAAGATGAAGGACTTGAATGTTTCCTAAGGAAGCGAGGGGGAAGCTCCTCAACTTACCCTAGTATCTAATGGTGACTTTGGAGAAGAGCCTTTCCATCAATCTTACGGGTGTCATTTGGATATCCCCAACCATTCTTCACGGCCAAGAAGACGCTCATTCCTCAAAGACATTTACAAAATTACATTTAAGAACACGTAGAATATCATCCCCTAATAGAGACAGCAAACTCGTGCCTTGTAATCTGTTCCTGCTCCATACACTTCACTACGCACCGTGGCACGTTCATATCGTGCTTGACAGATATCAAAGTCTGCTCTTGCATCACGCATGTCGTCGGAGCATGACCCACGACAAGAAAACCCCCGAAGCTTGGCTTCCATCATCAACGCTGCTGCATGGCCAAGCCCGGAGCCGATCTGACCCTGCAGTGAGGCCCGCAGACAGAGTATCATCCATTGGACGCGCCGCCG